ACCTGTTGACCTCAAGTGATATCTACTCCGAAATAGCCACCAATTAATTAGTTGGTCCGTGTACTATGCTATGGTAGACATCTTGAATGTTCTAGTGTAGACAGTGCACAGCGCTGTAGCCTATGAGCGACGAGGAGAACACCGGAGAGGACGACCGCAGGATCTTGCAATCAGCGAGGGGCCCGGTCGCCCACGTGTCTTTAGGACCGGAAGGTGATCGACATTTGTTCCGCCAACCGAGGGAGAGAGAGCGGGCACAGAGGACGGCCAGAGCAGCCGAGGCGAGCCAGACTTTAATTAGTGAGGCTGGTGCTACAGCAGCCATGGCTACTACAGCCATGTCCACTTCTGTGCAGCAGACTTCCCAAGCCAGTAGTTCAGGTGCTGTCGGGTCAACGGTCGCGCAGACCATGAGTCAGTCCCCTGGCATTATGGCAAGCCAGGCTGCGGTGTTGACTCCAAAGGATGTCGGCATCCAGCAGGCAGCCCTGCAGGAGGCACAGCTACAGCGGGCATTAGGGGAGATAAAAGCGGAAAAAGAAAAGATGATCAGAAGAAGAGCCAGGATGCRGCGAAGAGAGGCAGACATARAGGAGTTAGAAATGATGRACYTRACGCATATGGATGATGATGTGAGGGTAGTTAGGAAGGCCCTGCTAGGGGTTATAGAAATGCAGGAGCACCAAACTACCATCCTTCAGGACATTCAACAGAGCCTGGCCGTTCTGTCAGGCCGTGCTCGGGCAACACCATCACCAGCCGGGCCTGGTGCCTGGCCCGTGCCATATCCTCCCTTCTCTGTCCCACCGGTGACTGGGGTATCCCCATATGTAGCCCCATCAACGGTTGCTATCGTTTCCCTGGGCATGCCGCTGTCAGGAGGGGTAACAGCAGGGGGTAGTTTGCAGGTTCTTGTACAGACAGTGTTTACTCCAAGTCCGTCACAGGTTGCAGTCACCACGCAGCCTGCTGTCTCGCAGTCAGTGCAGCCTCAGGGCACACAGCCCCAACAGCTAGCACAACAACCTGTTTCACCGGGTCCACAGCCTGGAATGATGCAGGGACCGGGACAAACACAGTGGGTTCCGAAGACGGCCATCGCCGCTCCTAAACCTTTTACAGGGGACAAGAGAGGCGAGGACCTCGACACATGGTTGAGGGCAGTGCCGGTCTATGTCAGGTGCAAACTCACCTTGCCGCATGAAGAAGTGTTTGTGGCTGCCTCCTACCTCGAGGGTAGTGCAGCGAGATGGTTGAGTGGTCTAGTACAACTTGATGGATAAGGTCATGACTTCCGCGCTTGGGCGGCCTCCTAGAAATTGGAGGACTTCTTGAAGATGGTGGAAGAAAGGTGGCATGATCCTCAGGAGGCTCAAAGGGCCACTGACGCGATCCTGACACTGCACACGCGGCAGTTTAAGTCAGTAAGGGAAGCCACCGACGCTGTTGAGCGTTTGATCTGTGTCCCTGGGGTACGCTATGATCCTCAGGTCCTGTTGACTTCATACCTGAGATGTTTTTCACAGCCTCTCAGGAACCAGTTGGCAAAAGAGGCCAACATCAATATGCACAACTTTCCTTCGTTTAGCAAGGTGGCCCTAGACCTGGAAGCGAAGATAGGGCATGGACAGGCACCCACTACGGAAGGGAGAAAGAAGACACTGCCTCCTAACTGGAAGGCGAAGGGTCGCTTAATGTTTGTCGACAACGATGGTTCAACCATCGAGTTGGACGGCAACCTCCAATAGGGAGTAGGTTTAGAAGCAGGCAGCTTAGACGCTTCAGAGGGTGGAGTGGTCGTTGCCGTAGCGCAAAAAGGTAAAGGGACCGGTCGACGCCCTAGGGGATCCCGGTCGAAGAGTCAAACAGACCCCAACGCTCCTCCATGGGAGAAAGCGGGTCTATCAGAGGACGTGTGAAGAGATCGGTGGGCCCGGCAAGCTTGTATCAAGTGTGGTCAGTATGGCCATAGCATGTACAAGTGCCGAAACAGGAAGGTCACCGAGAAGATCCCGCCTACGATGGGGCCGGCGGTAGGATCCTCCACTCCCATTGGTAACAACGTTGCCAGTTCTTCAGGCACCGCTTCGGGAAACACGTCGGGCCAGTAGGAATAGTAGTTGTTCCTACTAGGGTCGCGGTGGTGGATACACCCTCACCTTCGCGAGAGATGGCCCAAGCTACTGACTCTTCAGTCGCCCCGCAAGCACATTCAGACCCATCGACCCTCTGTTCGATGAATGTGTTTGAGTCCTTAGAGGAGCTAGAGGTAGAGTGGTCTAGATTAGACCCGCTAGCTTCTTGGACGGCCTTAGTCAAAGCTCCTAAGGGTGAGATGTTCGTCAGCGAGGTTGTTATTGGCGGCCGCAAGGCCGGGGCCTATTATGACACTTGCTCGACACGGAACTTTATTAGTCGCGCGTGCGTTGAGAGACTGCGCTTACAGGGGCGAGTGCAGCGCCTGAGTCGACCTGTGGAGTCGACCTGTGCCAACAAACAGCGCATGGTAGTTAACGACTACCTCCAGGATGTAGAGTGTTGTTTTTCGTACGCGGGAGGGGACTTGAGGCATCATGTCTCGTTCCTAGTGAGCGATGAACTCCCCATGGACATGTTGTTAGGTATGTACTACCTCTCTGTGGCACAGCCCCAGTTTGACTGGGACCGAAAAGTGGTCAAACACACTCTTCCAGGAGGAGGGACCGCCAGATTACATAAGTTCAAAGCTAGTAGTCTGATTGAGTCCTACGGGTGCATGTGTGCGGCCGCGTTCTACAATTATTATAAGCAAAATCAGGAGGAGGGTATGTACTTAGTTTATGTCTCTGCTGCAGGCGAGCCGGTGAAAATGTCGTCGGAGATAGAGGGAGTAGTTGCTAAGTACCCTGATCTATTTGAAGAGCCAACAAGGGTTGTTGATAGGGAGGTCGTCCACGCGATAGAGATTCTCCCAGGGTCTAGTATTCCGAAGGGTAGGATCTATCGGATGTCTCCAGGCGAGCTTGATGAGCTTCGCCGCCAACTCAAGGAACTCGTAGAGAAGGGTTGGATCCGACCGAGTGTCTCTCCTTACGGATCTCCAGTACTATTCGTACCTAAGAAGAAGGAGGGCACTCTCAGGATGTGCATTGACTATAGGGGCCTCAATGTCATCACTGTGAAGAACAGAGACCTACCGCACATCGACGATCTGTTAGATAGAGTGCAAGGGTGCCGGTACTTCAACAAGATAGATCTGAAGTCCAGGTACCATCAGATTGCAATTAGGCCCGAGGATCAACACAAAACCGCTTTCCAGACCAGGTACGGTCTGTACGAGTTTGTGGTGATGCCTTTTGGCCTTTGCAATGCTCCTGGCACCTTTCAGCACGCTATGAATCGGATATTCCATGACTACTTGGATAAGTTGGTCATCGTGTACCTCGATGACATACTTATTTTTAGTAAGACTGTCGAGGAACATGTTGCACACTTGGACAAAGTCCTCGGTCTCCTGCGACAGCACAAGTTCAAGATCAACGGTGAGAAGTGTGAGTTTGGCCGCACTCGTGTCTTGAACTTGGGTCATGAGATCTCCGCGGAAGGGTTGAAGCTAGATGACGCGAAGGTGGCCAGCATTCGTGATTGGCCACGTCCTCAGTCTGTGACTGAAAT